CAATGGCTACTTTTACAGTCTTCAAATCTTATAAATCATAAATATTATGGTGCTTGATGTAGGAAACATAGATTCACTTGTTCAACAGTTTTGCTATCTAGTCATTGTTGAACAATAATATAGTGAAGTACAAAATATATTATTATGTATGACATATTATTAAAAATATATTAGCATCATACATGTGAATTTATTGATCACAACAAGCAGCTTAGCATAGACAACCTTACATCCCTATTTTCTAGGTTATAAACAATGATTTTTATATTACCATATTGTAAATGTTGACTGAAAATTGGTCTGAGGTCCAAAGTTAGTTATATAATTTTCTCGTGAGAAAACATTTTAAACTATATTACCCAAAATTAAGACAATAAACAACATACCACTAAAATTTATTAACTGGACATTAGATAAAAAAATATAACATAATTATTACACATTGTGACGTCTCTTTATTAAAAAAAAAAAAAGTACAAAACCTTAACAAACATTTGTTTAAAAAACATATAATTACCTTGCATGATTAAAGCCTCCATACTAGTTATTAGAAGGTATGTTTTTAACGTGTTTTTGAATTCAGCCTTATTAGTTAGTAACGAAATATCTCAACATTGGCCTTTTGACTGCCAGTTAACAGTTGGAATTAATATCAGTTCTTAATTAAAACAGAAGTAAATAAAATCTACTTACCACAAGGAAGCATGCAAACAGGACGTTCAGTTTTTTCCAAAGCAACTCCTCTGATTTTATGTTTATCATTAGGATTATAATACCCAACAGGTGGAGCACAGCCTGTATTATAAAAAAACAGCTTGTTAACAAAACTTTAATAACAAATTCAGCCACAAATGTTTCACACTTGAAACTTCTGCATAACGCACAGAGTGTTGGTCTTCTTCAAAACGTGTATACTTGTTTTTTATTGATAATTTTATAACACACAGAGTGTTGGTCTTCTTCAAAACGTGTATACTTGTTTTTATTGATAATTTTATAACACACAGAGTGTTGGTCTTCTTCAAAACGTGTATACTTGTTTTTTATTGATAATTTTATAACACACATAGTGTTGGTCTTCTTCAAAACGTGTATACTTGTTTTTTATTGATAATTT